AGATAAGACAGGAAGGCAAACAGTGGATCATCTACTGTGGTCTTGTCCTGGGAAGTACACTGGCTCTTCTCAGCTACACGAGCACAGGCAAACTACAGCAATGTTCAGGTGAACTGCACCTGTTCTCTACCCCAGGTCCTTCTGGCTGTGGTAATATACATATATATTTTAAAATTTCAGGATAATGAAAGGGCCTTGAAAGAGATGTGGTTCAAATTCTTTATTATAATTGACCCTGAGGGGGCTGGAGAGATGGCTCAGTGGTTAAGAGCATTGCCTGCTCTTCCAAAGGTCCTGAGTTCAATTCCCAGCAACCACATGGTGGCTCACAACCATCTGTAATGAGGTCTGGTGCCCTCTTCTGGCTTGCAGGCAAACAAGCAGACAGAATAATGTATACATAATAAATAAATAAAAAAAAATAAAAAAAAAAAGCACAACTTTTTTAAAAAAAAAATAAATAATTGATCCTGAGCAAATGAGATCCATCAATGAAGCCCCAACAGAGTCAAGGGATGGGCCCACAGTCAGATACTGCAGGAGGGGCCCAATGACTACGTTTTTCTTTTGCCCTTTCCATGATACACTGCAACTGAAGAACTGACTGAGTTGTGTCAGTCACAACTTCTAGCTGGGCCGTGGTGGCACATGCCTTTAATCCCAGCACTGGGGAGACAGAGGCAGGCAGATCTCTGTGAGTTCAAGGCCAGCCTGGTCTACAAGAGCTAGTTCCAGGACAGGCTCCAAAGCTACAGAGAAACCCTATCTTGAAAAAAACAAAACACACACACAAAAAAAAAAAAAAAAAAAAGAAAACCCCAAAAACTAAAAAAAACAACTTCTAGTATACAGTTTTCCTTCCAAAATGCCCAACACTTAAGCAGTTACAAAGGACAAAGGGCATCATGAACACTGCCCTGCAGGGCTTTCCTGCTTACCTGTAAGAGTTCCCTGGTGGGCTGCTGCTGCTTCTCTTCCAGCTGGGCAATCAGGCCACTGAGGTGAGAGATGTTGCAGGAGAACTGAGTGATGGCACCATTGATGCTGTTGTAGATGGCTAAGTCTAGCTCCTCGAGGCGAGCTAACAGGCGATACTCGTGCTCCTTCAAGGAGTGATACAGCTGCTCAAACTCCCAAACGATTTTTTCCCTCTCCATCTGGGTCAGGCTCTGTACATGACATGTAATGGTAGTGAATAGGAAATGCTCACTTCTAGAACTCTTGTAAATCTTCCCAATGACTTAACCCGAGACCTCATCTCATACTATAACAGCTTCTCTCTCTCCCTCCCTCCGTCCCTCTCTCCAGTCTTTATCCACCATGAACTGAATTACTCCAATGGTAATTAAGAAATAGTCCCTACCGTAAAAGACTCAGTCAAGTGATAGGTTCACGAGACACTGTCATGATGGGTAAAGACAACGGGAGAAGTTCAACAGTCTCCCCAAAATCCATGTTCACACAGGATCTTGTAGAATACCATGTAAGCATGAGTTAAGATAGGCTTTTTAGGCTGAGCAAATGGCACAGGCATTTAAAGAGGGAAGAGAAGACATGGTTGGTTCTATATGCCTAGAGCCCATGAGCACTGAAGGACAAGATCAGATCATACCCTGCCTGGTAGAGTCATGAAATACAGCCATACAGAAGTGGCAGGGTTAGCTGTGTACCCTGTGGAGGTGATCCGGAATGATCACACACACTTACCTAGACTCACTTACTTGGTCCCTTTATGTGATCCTTTATGATTTTGGGGGAGTGCTTATGGGTTTGGCATTGAAGCTGTCCTACACAATTTGTCTATTACAGTTTGTCTATCTTTTCTTCTCTACCCAATTCCTCAACTGCCAAGAAGCTGTAGAGGCAGGTGTGCCAGTGCATTCCTGGATTCCTAGCACTTGGAAGGCAGGGACGGAAAGATTGGGACTTTAACTAATGAATTCAAGATCAACTTGGGTTATGGAAGACCTCATCTCAAAAAAGCAAGCGTTCTACCTGAGGGATTACAAGTGTGGCAGGGCATACCTGTAATCCCAGCATCTGGGGAAACCAAGCAAAGAATATTCAGAGTTTAAGACATTCCTGAACTACACAGTTAAATTATTTCTAAATAAATAACAAATGGTCAGCAAATGACTTGAGAACACTCCAAAAACATTTTCCTTGAATCCAGCCACACCCACTCATTTACATATTAGACATGACTGATTTTGAGATACAATAACTGAGCTGTTTAGTTGTGAGTTGGCTTGTGTAAACCCACAAAGCTAAAAGTACTACTGGCCCTTTTTTGACCTGAACTCAGCTGTCCCAAGAACCCCCACCCCATCACACCTCTAACCAAACCAATTTTCTTAGGCACTTACTGGGCATCTTTGTAGCACACTTGTGTGCGCATGCGCACACACACCTTGGCTTATAGACACTTTTCCTAAGCTCATACCTCTTCTCAGTTGGGTAAGTCTTTCAAAGGCATAAAGCAGACAATACAATCTTAGACGTACAAAATTAAAGCTAAAAGAAACCTTAAAGGTCAGTGTTTCCGAAAGGGGTGTGACTCACGCCCTGGCAGGAACAATTTGCCGGCACAGGTCTGTTTCTCGCTATAAAACTTACCAACCTTGTCCCATCTTCCCACTCGATCTTTGACTCGGCCTCAAACCAACCATTTACCATTTAAAGGGCAGAAAGGGCAGCACCGGCAGGCTGGACAACCACAGCTTTCACCCGACCTCTCTAACAGACAAAGAAATAAGGCCGAGAGAGGCTGCACCACCTCTCCATCTAAACCGGCAAGCACCAGAGCTAAGAGGCAAACCCAAGATTCTGGATTCCTAGAGGCTGTCTCTCTCTGGACAAACCTCCCAGAGCTGATACCTCTGAAGTTTTTCACTGTACCCTGACAAACACTGCGTTTTCTCAAGGACTATCAGAGATAGTAGTTCAGAAGGTTACTATCCAGATGCAACGTTCTGCAGGCTGGAGAATGGGACCCTTACCAAGAGCTCAGCTCTCGCCTGCTCCCCCTGCGCCCGCCGTCTCTTCTTCAAATCCTTCACTCTTCTTAGATGGTCCAGCCGATTCTGGATTTGTTCCTGAAGAAAGCAAACAGTTGGTCAGTTCAAGACGTTACTCTGCTTATCACACAGGAACCCAAACTACAGATGCCAAGGCCCAGATGGACTGTCCTCAGACCACAATGCCACTCCTGGGAAGAGCCCAAAGCGTAGGGGTCGGCACAGCTCTGCTGGAGCGGTTTCTTATTTGAACTCTGAGCCACCTACCAGTTCTGCCTAAGTTATGAGGCATCTAGGTAAGGAGGCTCAAAAGCTGAGGAACACAAAGTTCCTTGGAGGAACACAGAGACAATGACTTATTTTCCTCAGGCACAGAATGGGTAAACATCACTCTCCCATGCTACAACCCCTCACCGGAGAGTGAACGGATACAGGTGTCAGCTACGTAAACAGAACTGATATTTGGATGAGCCCACATTTAAACAAGTATATTTCGGGGTGTCTGTATCCCTGCAGTTGTCAAAATAGACTCCTTGCCACTTTAGAGCTCCTTTATAAGCAACGTTTTTGCACTACTGTGTAGCCACGCCGGTGTTTATTCAACAGTCCACAAAGGCCTCTTCAGGGCTTGTGAGTTCACTTACTCTTCATAATAACTGTTCTCTCCCGAGTCTCAGAGTGGTTAAATGATTTACTCAAGCAGGAAAGAGCTGGGGACATAGATTAAGTGATAGGCATTGCTTGAGGTGAATTCGCCGGCCAGCAGCGACTGTCTAGTTTGCTATCCCGGGCCGGGTGGAGTTCGAGGTCTCCAAAGCCTATCAAAGTGGACGTGGCTTGATGTGCAACTCCTTTGTCAAAAGGGAGGGTCTCCTCGCGCCGTCCCTGCCCCGCACGCGTTGAGGCAGAACAGGGGGGCGCTAGGGGGGGGGGAGTGGGGGAAGCCTGGGGGTGGGGACGCTTCTGGCCCCGCCAGCTACAGGTTCTCCTTCCGAGTCTGAGTACGGAGGTTCCGCAGCCGACAGGGAGGAAATGACGGCGCCGGGCCCCACGTCCGGCTCGCCATTTTCTCGGCGGCAGGCCCCGGGAAGCCCCCGGCTTCGCCCCTTTGTCCGCCGGCCCGGCCCTACCTTAAAGCCCTCCACCGCCTCCTCGAGGGGCAGCACGCTGTGGCCACGGTGCTCCCGCGAGCGGTCGCACACCACGCAGATGGGCATCTGGTCCTGCTCGCAGTACAGCTTCAGCGGCTCGCGGTGCTTCTCGCACACGCCCATCTCGCCGCCGGGCCCCGACGGCCGCTCGGTGCGCAGCTGCTTCACCAGCTGGGTCACGTTGGCCAGGTGCCGGTTGGGCCGCATGTGGCGCTGCGGGAAGGTCTCCCGGCACTGCGGGCACGACACGTTCGTCTCCGCCGCACCCCAGCAGCGGGCCAGGCAGGCGCAACAGATGTTGTGGCCACAGTCGAGCATCATGGGCTCCGCGAAGTACTGAAGACACACGGGGCAGGTGGTCTCCTGCTGCAGGCACTCGGCCACGCTCCCGGAGGCCATGTCGCGGGCAGGCTGGGCCGCAGGGCATGAGCCCGGAGCCGAGCTCTGGCTGAGCCCGGCGCTCTCGCTCGGCTTCTCCTCTCCGGAGCGGGGCGGGGCCTCCAAGGCCGGGATGGCGGAGGCGCGCCGGGCTCTTCGCCGGCCGGACCAATCCCTGCACCGCTGCACCCCGCCGCGAGCGCGGGAAGGCCTGGACTCCGGAGCCCGGTCGGGGGCCGAGCAGAGGGGCGTCGGGGACCCGGCGCCGCCGGCTGGCTCACAGGGCAACGTGGCCGTGTCGGAACGGATCCCCGGGCCGCGCAGACTCCACGGGCCAAACGGAAGAGGTGGGCCGGGGGCGGGGCCTGGCTTCGCGCGCCGCTCTCTTTTAGGCGAGCGGGCGGGTTTCCTCGGCGTTGTCCTGGAGACCCCGGAGCTGGAGCGCCGGTACCCAGCTTAGGGGTCGGTGGTGGCCGCCCAGTGCACTGTGCGCAGCGTGGCCCTGGCCGTGGGGTCCGGACACTCCAGGCGTCTGTGGATTCGTAGTCTTTTGTTGGGTTTCCTCTTAGTGCCTAGGCCTCGTCTCCTTTAAAAGTAAGATGGCTTTGTAGAAGTACCCGCACAAGCTCCTCCCCGTGTGTGAAGCACTAAGAAACACACCCAACTGCCGGCGATTCCCACTGCCTGAAAAAGGTTGAATTATCAGCAACTTTTCTGAATGGCAGAAACGGAGAAGCCCAGGTCTACTTCCGCCCTGGAGTAAGTTGGTTTACCGTTGCGAGCCTCATTTTCTTCTCGTGTGAAATGGGGTTTGGTAGAGTTTAGAGCAGAGTGCGGATGGTCAGAGCCCGATACCCAGTGAAGTCTTCCCTTGTCTCCTTAGCGTTACAACTACTGGGGGGCCGTCCCACTGAGAGCCCGCCTTTGAGTCCGACTTCTCAACAGGCTAAGTGCCCAAACTTCTCACTTCCCCAAGTGAGGCTGCCAGACGAGGCGTGTCAAAGGGCTCCCGCCCCTCCTCCGCCACCTGCTGTGGAATCAGCGGTTTCCTAGGAGACCACCTAAGAAAGGACCAGGATTCTGCCAGGATTCTGTCATTTGAGCCTCGTTCTCGGACCCCACTCCCCACCCCCACCGGAGCCTGCTCTCTAAGTCGCTGGGGCCTGAAATTCTGAGTGTCCCCCGTACTGTGGTCCCTCCGAGCGCGGCGTTAATAATTCTTACACCTAACAACCCACTTCAGTGTCCCCCCCTTGAGCCTGTTTTTTTTTTTTTCCCCAGGGATATACTCCAGCAAGGAGTTAGACTTGGTTTTCTTTTTTAACTGTTTGAGCCATAAAGGGGCTTGTGGGAGCCAGCCATGATAAGCTAAATAGAAACAGACCACCCAAAGGAAGTTCTTTACTTCCAACCATTATCACGGGCCAGAATAGGACTCAGCCATCGATAAGTTTAATAAAGGCCTGAATCTCAGTAGGTTGCTGATAAACTAAGATTACCTGAGCACCACCCAAGAACAGACCATCCAAAAGAAATGCCTTTACACCTTACATTCCAACCGCTGTAGACAGGACCACCTTCCAGCACACACTCACCAGGACACCCCTAGACAAATAAATGTCAGTCAATCAGGGGTCCTGAACCTCAGAAATCCCGCATTCCCACCTTTACTACTATAAAAACCCAACTCTAACTGAGCTCGGGGCTTTCCGTTTGTTCCAATACATTGGACATGCGGAGAGGCGGAGTTTGCAAACTTGCATAAAATAAAGGCTCTTTATATACGGGACTCAGTCTCCTTGTTGGTTTTTGGGGGACTTCGCAGATCTGGACATAACAATGCTCACCCATCAGTTTAAGTAAAATACCGTGTACATTGGATGGCATTGAGTAGAACCTAAAGCTTGCTAGTTTTTGCTCTATTGAGAATCCCACGATGACCCCAGGTCTTGTAGCCCAGAATGTCCGTTCTCTTGTCACAGAATAGTGTTGCGGTCTGCTGTCACCTCTACCGGGGCATTTCCCGCTGTCTTTTGGAACTGTCTCGGTGTTGCCCTTGTCCTTGAGCAACAGGGGCTTCTGCATCCAGAGCATTACCTTCGAGGATTTTACTCGGATCTTCACCGTGGGACACGAAATTCGATGTGCCAACAGGTCTTGCCAAACCGAGCCTCCTTTCTCCAACCTGCCCTTTTGAAACTCCAGGCCCAGTTATGGAGAGCACTCCCAGGGAAAAGGTCCAGTATTTGGCCTAGGCCACACCAGAGTCTGCTCTGGTTCAAAGGAATTGAAAATTCCACTCTTTTTCTCCAGAAGGAAAAAAAACAAGTTTTGCAAGCCAGTGTGTAAATAGGATATGCAGAGGGCAGACGTGTGTCCTGGAGTTTAGCCTTGTCATTCAGGGCTGCTGTGGCCTCTGCTTTCTTAACCCTGGGAGGCAGATGGCCTGGAGCGGGAGGCAGGCAAACTGGCCTGTTGGGTGAGGTGGGGGCGGGGGAATGGAAGCTTTTCTCTTCTGGGATTCCTACTGACCCCCTCCTTTCCCAAAGGATGGCTGTTTTCTCCTTATCCACGAAATTTAGTGGAGTTGTCATTTGCTTTATTGCTTAATTTCTCTGCTCACTTCCACGTTCCCAGTGCTGAAGATCAAACTCAGGGCCCCGTGCTAGGCAAGTGCTTTTCTCCAATTCCATCCACGCCATTTGAATTTTCGTTAATCCGCCTTGACCTAAATTGCTGCTGCAGTCTGTCAGTTTGCAAATGAGTTCGCAGTGACCTGACAGTCAGATGAATGAAACTGCTGTCATTAGTTTTGTTCCCAATCTTTCTTTTCCAACTATTTTCATACCACTTCCAGGAAGGGTCCTCCTTAAAACTTCTCCATGTTTTTTTTCATTTTGTCAAATTCTTAAGGACTTTTTTGAGTTAAGTTTTTGCCCTCCCTTGTCCATTATGGCCTCTTCATAATATATGTCGCTGTACTTTCCTCGTGTTAGGTATCCTCTCTGTGTGTATTGCTAAATCTAGATTCTGCCTATGAGAGAAGCCGTGATGTGACGTTAAAGGTTTTTTTTTTCCTGAACCATTTTTTTATTTGTTCATTTCTTGCATTTGAAGTACTCTTTGATGACATCCTTAGCCAGAGATCATTTGCCGTCCTCTTTAACTACTACACAATAGCAACCAGTCACTTTACGGGGTTTCTTTCCCCTCTCAGTGGGTGTTACAGAGGCCCACTTGCTCCAGTTTCTCATCACCAACCTTAATTAGATTTATTTGGCCCTTGGTGAAGGGGCTTTGCTGTCTTAACCTCGTCACAGCGGTAGGGCTTTAAGCTTCTATCAGCTAGGCTCCCAGGGCTTGGGGGATTCTGCTCTCCCAGATAAAGACTCTGTTGCTGCCTAAAGGTAGAGTTAACTAAGTCTCAATTGTTCTAATAAAACCGAGGATTCAAAGGCTAGGGTGAAAACCTGTGAGCTCAAAGAGTTAGAGTAGCAACTGACCAACTTTCTTTCTTAGCTGGCTTTCCGGGAAGCCTTTTGCCTTCCACAGGGCCCCAACCGAAAAATCCACGCTGCACTCCTACCTACTTCGTGTCAGCGAGCTGCCAACCCCACCTCTCTGAACCCAGGTTAATTTTATTTAATTAATGCAAATGCAACATATCTTTACTCAGTTAAACAAATGCAGCATGAACAAATGTAACACGTCTTTGCCTAGTTAAATTCCACGACAAGGCTTCCACCAACTTGGCATACACAGGCTCATCGCAATTAGATACAACAACACAAAGATGGATTTGGCAGATGTCTAAAGCTTTGGCCACTTTGGGAATTTCATGGACCAGGTCATCATGAATGAGGACCGTCTTCAGCATCTCTTGTAAAGCAGTGTTAAGGACCAGTACACACTGGCCTTCAGCAATGCCTTGCTCAGGCCTTCAGCTGGCGGAATGGGAAAAGTGTGTTCTTTCTCTCTTTCCCTCTCTCTCTTCTCTCTACCTCCTCTCTTCTGTTGTAGGGTATTTTGTTCACACTCCGACACTCCTGAGACTTGCTAATAAAGTTAAATCTTGAATGAGGGCAGAGCCAGCAACTAGCTGACTGGAATTGGCCATAGAAAAGCCCACAGTTTGGATAGCAAGGAAGAACAGGAAGGAAGGGGCAGGTTTAGTGCTTTCCTTTTTGGTTCTGAGACAAGGGAAGAGGCGTGTCTCTCTCCTTGCAGTGTCTCCAGCCAAAAAGCAAGGTCAGCTATTTGCTACCCAACCTCTCTGATCTAGTAGGTTTTTGCCCCAGCCTTTGAGTCCCGAGTCTTATGGATAAATAGAACAAAGACTGAATTTAAACCTACATATTGTGGTCATGATAGAGCAGCCATGGGACCTGCCAGGATGCAGCCTGAGTGGCCGATGGGGCACTGACTGAGGGGCCATGGGGAGGCAGATGATAATGAAAATATCAGTAGATTCACGTGCAGCTGCTAAACTGACAGAAAACATCACTCTTCCTCTTCCCTCATCTCCCTTTCTTCCTCACCTCCTCCCCTTCCTCCCCTTCCCCTCTCCTTTTCATTCTCTCCCAATCTCCTAACTCCTCCACTACTCCTCCTCCTCCTCCTCCTCCTCCTCCTCCTCCTCCTCCTCCTCCTCCTCCTCCTCCTCCTCCTCATCATCATATACCCAAAATTATACTAAAACGAACTAGAGGATTTTTTAGAAAAAGAGTCACTGTACACAGCCCTAGCTGTCCTGGAGCTCACAGGGATCTGCCTGATTCTGCCTCCTGAGTACTGGGATTAAAGGTATTTTTCTCACGTCTGTTCTTATTTATTTATTTATTTTGCTTTCAAGACATTGCTCAAACCCTTTAAAACACAGGACAAAGATATTAAAACACAACCACATATGGTGGTACATGCTTTCAATTCCAGTACTCAGAAGGCAAAGACAGGTAGATCTCTGAGTTCAAGTTCCAGGACAGCCAGGACTATACAGCCATATTTGTTCTCAAAAACCAAGCAAGCAAAAATGTTATTAAACTATCACTTATTATGTATTTTGTTTTGTTGAGAGTCTCCCTAAGTAACCCAAGATGGCCTAGTACTTGACAATCATCCTTTCTCAGTATCTTGGGTGCCAAGATTACAGGTGTGTACCAACACTTATAATTAGAGTTTTTTTTTTTAAATAAAATGTTTTGTTGTAAAATAAATTCCTATTTGTTGTCTTTATTTTACCTACTCTAAGGAGACCAATGACTTAGTCTAAAATCTGCCAGGCTTTAACATCTCAGAGGCATTTGCGTCTGGTGACTCCCCTTTATCGGATCCTTCATGCAGGCTGCATAGAACCCAAGAGGCACAGAGTTCTGTTTCCTCTCCTTTTCTCTGCCCTTGACCAAGAAAAATTTCAGAGTTAGTGTGTATCTTAGTTAGGATTTCTATTGTTGGAAAGAGGCACCACGACCACAGCAACTCTTATTAAGGAAAACATTTATTTGGGACTGGCCTACAGTTCAGAAGTTTAGTCCATTATCATCTTGGTAGGAAGCATGTTGGCATGGTGCTGGAGTGATAGCTGGGAGTTCTACATCCAGATCCGCAGGCAGTGGTCCTAGCTTGAGCTTCTGAGACCTCAAAGCCCACCTCCAATGACACACTTTGTAACAGGTCTTTCTTTGGACTACCAACTTCTGAATAACAACACAAAGACTTTTTATTAATTATGAAAGCTTGGCCTTAGCTTAGGCTTGTTCCCAATTAGCTCTTAAAACATAAATTAACCCACTCATATTAGTCTATGTTTTGCCACATGGCTCGTTCCCTCTCCTTAGTACTGTATGTCCAACTTCCTCTGCATCTGGCTGGTAAATCTCCTTTCCCAGAGTTCCTGTAAAAGTTTGTGTGCTCATAAAATTACTCCTTGGAAGTAATAGAACCAATGACTCCAGAGGCTGGGTATGCAGCCAAATGATGGAACACTTGTCCAGTATACTCAGTGCCTTGGGTTTGATCCTAGCACTGAAGAAAACAAAGTTCATCTGTATATATACTCACAGAGACACACATATGCACATATCAAATCAGGCCTAGAAGCCTAGTTACTTGAGAGGCTGAGGCAGAAGGATCAAAAGTTTGGGACCAACCTGGACAACAGAATGAGTTTTAGGCCAGTCTGGACAACTTGGTAAGACCCTAGAAGGAAAGGAAGAAGAAGGGGAGGGAGGAGGATGGAGAGACAGGGAAATTGAACAAGATTTGAACACATGCTGAGGTTACAATTTAGTGATAGATGTGCTTAGCATGTGAAAGAGCCTATATCCAAATCTCCAGCACTATGGCTAAGTGTGTGTGTGTGTTCACACACGTGTGCGTGCATGTGCGTGCGTGCGTGTGTGTGTGTGTGTGTGTGTGTGTGTGTAAATGAGAGCATGGAGAGTGAGCAGACTTGATTTGGGTACCATTTTCTCCCCCTTTAAAGATTTGTTTATTTTCTGTGTGTGGCTATTCTGCCAGCATGTGTGAATGTTCACATGAATCCTCTGGAACTGGAATTACAGAGTTTTATAAGCCTTATGGGTACTGGGAATCAAACCTGGGTCCTATGGAGGAGCAGGCAGTGCTTCTGACCATTTATCTCCATTCTTTTCATAGTACTTTTGAAATATTAAAATTATACGCAAACATTCATCAGTAGTTTCCAGGATTGAGGCAGAGAGTGGAAAGCAATACCTGTAGCTTTGCAAGGGTGGTGTGGTGATTTGAAAGAAAATGGTCCCCAAAGGGAGT